TTATTAGAAAGAAATCTTTACAGTAACAACATGTGTCTTATATGGTGTGTTTTTCTGTAAGTATGTATGTGGTTCCACTAGTGTGTTTTGCCACTATATGTGTATGGTGTGTGTTTATGTGTGTGGGGTTATGACTTGTTTAGTGCTGGTTTAAATTTGTATATATATATATATATATATATATATATATATATATATATATATATATATATATATATATTATTATTGATTAAAATGTACGCTCTGTGATAATAAAAGCTATGGTACTTATTGGATAGTTAATTAAACACTTACATAAGAAATAAATTTTTGCGAAATATTTTTAGAAAATGACTTTCAAAATGATATGTTGATAAAATTGTGGATTCTTTATAATGCAGTCCTTTTTTAGCTAAAGAGAATTATTGTTCAATTAGCCGAAAAAAAGGTTTATAGCATTAATTTATCTATTATTATAAAACGATTAAGTATAGTTTCATGGAAATATACACAGAACGAGGGAAACAGAGGAAGAGAGATAAAGATAGATAATCTTCTTTTGAATGCTTGGGATGATGAGTTATTATTTACGTTATTTACAGTCGGCCTAATTTCGTTATCTTTGTTATCAAAACCTTTCGACCGATGCACCCCCGGTCTTCTTCAGATGTCTCTCAGTAAAGAAAGAAACAGAAACTGATGAGAGAACCGAGATTCACTGAACGATTTTAGCAAGCTTAAAAAAGAAGAAACGGCGGCAGAGGTAGTTAAGCGCACCATCAAGGTAACATCATCAGCAGGCAAGAAAAAAGATCATTAGGTTTAAGACTCCGAGTTCTAGTTTGGGGGTTATGTTACAAGAGACTAGAGAATCAAAGTCGTTCAGAAATTTGCCGATATTGTAACTTCCAGTTCAATCACTGGTACTATGAACTGACCCTCGGTGTAAACAGGACGAGGAATTGTCTTCTAAAGGGAAGTAATTAAGACTGTCTCATAATAAAAGTTTATATTTTTTAGACAAATATTTCGTAGCAAGCAGCTACGCACGCACACAGGCACGCATAATATATTTGTTTATTAATATATAATTAATAATATATATTTATTAATATATATATATATATATATATATTTCCTAACCAGTAGCACGACTCTGAGTTTCATGTACAACGCAATCTTCAGGTACTGAAGTTTGAGTTGTGCATTAAATTCAGAGTCGGGCTAAAGGTGAGGAAAAATATATATTTATTAATATATAATTTATCATTCTACTATATTACATCGAGCACTCTTTTCTAAATACCAGCACTCAATATGCATTTTTTTAAGCATTTCACCCCAAGCAAGGTGGGAATGCCACTAGCTCGTAAGGGGTTACAGACAATGGGAGCGAGAGTAAACAGGCGTGACAGAGGAAAGGATGAAGAGAAGGATAGGGAATAGATCAAGGCATCTGGAGATGTCAATTGACATTACATTTGAATAGTTGGAGGTGATAGCCATCAGGGAAGTAAGTAAGAAGAAGGGAGTTCCACAGGCAGGAAGTGCGAGACATGAAACTATTGGAGTAGAGGAGACGGCTACAGTTAACGGTTTCGACAGTGAAAGGGTGGGACTGTGATGCCAACCTAGTAGCACGTTTACATTCATGCAGTCTGGTTCCAGAGAAGGATGTTGAGAATACCATGGAATGAACATGTGAGTAACGATGTTTTAAGGAAAATGGTAGCAAATACGACACTTATACTTCGAATGAGAAAAACAGTAGAAATTTATAGTTCACATAGTGAAGAAAAAGGGGCTTAGAGAATCTGACACTCACAGGATATATTGAAGGAAAGAGAGAGACAGAGGAAAGCAATGGTGGAGCTAAGGTATGTATCTTGTTTGAACATTTGCGATGAAAATAATGATAGAGTAGCGAAAAGCTAGCGACGATTAGTCTGTGTTTTCGGATAGAAAATAATTCATTTCCCGCAAGCCCACGTACATTCATCCTTTTAAACTCTTTACAAGGGTTGGAAAATAATGATTATGCAGTCCACTAACGCTTATAGCTCTTTCCAGTTTGATGGGAGCATCCTTCTAAAGTTTCCTTTCAAGTAGGCTGGAATGTCAACATCTTGATTAGGTTATTATTAGTCACATTTGTCACTGCTGTTGAAAGAACATACGCGATGTGGTTTCTGTATTTGGTACAGTTTTTTGTTTGGGATCCTGTACTGTAAATGCACAAGGTTTAAATAAGTTCCCGTTAAGTCCTACATAGTCCTAAATCACTGCCAGAAATAAAGGTTCTCAAATTCGAAAATAATATTAAATTTATTAGATATTTGGCATTTTTTAAAAAATTCATCTCTTCCTTCTTTGAGAGTTTTGTATCTGTTTTTTTTTTTTTTTTTTTTATAATTCCAGCTGGATATGGCCTTTCTTTCGCATCCTTATTTACGTAAATGACCACAGCATCTGCGTTCGCTGTTAGGTCTAATTGACGCTTTAAATTGAACATCAAATATCGTAAAACCGGACACAAACTCGGCATTATACTTGAGATAATATTTATATTATAAACTGAATCCCCATTTCATAATGATTCCGCTACATCTCACTGTAAAACATAAATTCTATACAAGAAAATAACTAATTTCATATTCGAACAAAGGAACGCATACCATTAAAAAAGATATGCATTTTCTTACATAAGCAAGTTGTATTATGAAAAAGTTAACATGCCCATTTTTAGGCCCTTTTCAATCGTTGTTCTGAGAAAGCGGTTATATACAGTTGATAGTTTGACGAGTTGGGCGCCGTCCATGACATCCATGTGAAAGTCTCAATTTGACGATGCGGTCTGAGAACAAGACAATTCGCGGTGTTGGGCGAAACTATCCGTTCTATGTCCAAATCTATTATCTTCTATATTTCTTCTTTATGTGATGAGTTCCAGCAGGACGTAGGCGATTATGGATCTCCACAGTTTCCTGTCTCTTGCAGCTCTAAATAAATTATCTTTTCTTTATTTCTAAGTCCTGTTCTGTCCTCCATTTGCTCAAACTCGTTAAGTATTATATGAGTTGTTTTCCTCCGTCCCTCTTACCCTCAATCTCTCTTGTGAGTATAACACTTTCCAAGCCCTCCACCCTCATTACGTGCCCCAGAAAATTCAACTGTCCCATCCTGATGTTAAGTATCAGTATTTTCTTTCCATTTCCTCTAAAACCTCGTCGTTGCTCACATGTCCAGTCCATGGCATCCTCAGCATCTTTCTGTAAAATGGCATTTCTGTTCCTTCAGAAATGTCCAGCATCTATTGACCTATATTAGGACATGTTAAGTATTCATTCCTTTGTTTCTAACGAATTTTTACCTACCTCTTAATATTCTGCTTAGCTTTTGGAATGTATCTTTGGCTATCTCAATACGTCTTCGGATTTCAGTGTCACATTTTTGTCCTCTAATACTCAGATATTTAAAATGTTGTGCTTTCTTGATCTTAGTACCACAGATTTGTAATTTGCATTTTGGGCTCATCTTTTTGCGTTTTGTTAACTGATCTACACACTGAAATAATTGGAGTATGTAATATTTATTAATTCCACATTTGGAATTCTTATCATGGTTCAAGATTATCTGCTTATATTTGAATTCCAGATCATAGTTTCTGTCAAGCAATGGTTTAGGCTTTATCCTAGGACATTCATTTCTTCTTGAAATTCATTCTACAGAAAAAATGAACTTGTTTGCTTTAACGAATGAATTGAAAACTGAATTAAATTTTAGGTTCGTTTGCACAAATATGTCCGCGAAGTTGAATTCAAATCACTGCCACAAAAACGGTCCTTAAATTCGAGAAAATATTAATTTTATTACATATTGATTACAATAATTCCACCAGATCTCAGTGTAAAACATAAATTTTATACAAGTGTCATATTCAAACAAAGGAACGCATAGTATTAAAAGTATTGCATTATTAAAAAAAAATATGCATTTTCTTACATAAGTTGCATTATGAAAAAGTTAACTTGTCCAATATATATATATATATATATATATATATATATATATATATATATATATATATATATATATATTACTTTTTACTATTATTTCGAAACTGCGCCTCTATTATATTAAAGAAATCATCTTTGATTGGTTGATTTTGTCTTTTACGGCTTTTTGTTTCGGGTTGTTTCAAGCCAGAAAATCTATTTAGAATGTATGAACTTTTGTTGATAGTAATGATAGACTGATACTAGTCCTACATATACACACACACACGCGGGCGCGCACACACACATATTTATATGTATGTATGACATTATGCATGCGCGAGGAGATCAATAAATTCGTAGCCATGCACTGAGCTGAAATTTTACCTGAAAGTTTTATTGTATGATATTCGACGATTGTTATTAGTATTCAGCATAGGAAATAGGACACACACTGACAAGGATGGAGTTAATGTTAAAATAAAGTCTTTTTTCTTCATTACACCATGGATTCATTAACATCCCTATATATATATATATATATATATATATATATATATATATATATATATATATATATATATATATATATCCCTGAATACCGAACGACACAAGTTCAACACGTCAACTGCACGTGAACCATGATTAAGCAATGAAAATCAAGCAACTCAAAATTGCAAAAATTCCAGAATCTCTTTCTGCTTTGTCTTCCATATCCCATTCTCTAGTGAACCTTTAATAAACGTAAACCCAAAAATTTAGATTAATAAACCTTTACTATATGTTCTTTATCTTGTCATTCCGATCTATATTTGATCTATATTTGAACAACTCATATATATATATATATATATATATATATATATATAAATATATATATATATATATATATATATATATATATATATATATATATATATATGTATAAGTTTCGATTACTGGTTTTGGATGATTGTACGATACGAGGAAGTATGTCACTTCAGATATTCGTTCTGCTTACTTGAAAAGAATTTAAAAAAACGAATAATGTCATTTCATTCTTTATGTGGTATTCGTGAACTGCTCTCTCTTCCCCAATCTCTCTCTCTCTCTCTTCCCCAATCTCTCTCTCTCTCTCTTCCCCAATCTCTCTCTCTCTTCCCCAATCTCTCTCTCTCTCTTCCCCAATCTCTCTCTCTTCCCCAATCTCTCTCTTCTCTCTCTCTCTTCACCAATCTCTCTCTCTTCCCCAATCTCTCTTTCTCTTGCCCAATCTCTCTCTCTCTTCCCCAATCTCTCTCTTTAATCTCTCTTCCCCAATCTCTCTCACTCTCTCTTCTCCAATTTCTCTTTTCCACAATCTCTCTCCCTCTCTTCCCTAATCTTTCTCTCCCTCTCTTCCTCAATCTCTCTCTCTTCCCCAATCTCTCTCACTCTCTCTTCGCCAATCTCTCTCTTCCCCATCTCTCTCTCCCTCTCTTCCCCAATCTCTCTCTTCCCCAATCTCTCTCTCCCTCTCTTACTCTCTCTCTCCCTCTCGTCCCCAATCTCTCTCACTCTCTCTTCCCCAATCTCTCTCTCTTCCCCAATCTCTCTCTCTTCCCTAATTCCCCTCTCTCTTCCCCAATCTCTCTCCCTCTTTTCTCCAATCTCTCTCTCTCTCTTCCCCAATCTCTCTCCCTCTCTTCCCCAATCTCTCTCACTCTCTCTTCCCTAATCTCTCTCTCTCTTCCCCAATCTCTCTCTCTTCCCCAATTCCCCACTCTCTACCCCAATCTCTCTCTCTCTCTCTCTCTCTCTCTATTTAATAACTGATTGGGTTAAAGATACCTAACGAAGCTTATTCAAGCGTTAAACCTTTCATCAGGATGACCTTTTTTTTTTTTTACAAATGGCGACGCTGATTCATTTGGTCTTAATTAATCAAATAAAGCAAAGAAAAAGAAATAAACTTCAATAAAGAAAACAAAAGACTTCCAACCACACAAGAGATTTATATATTGATCATCGAGTAATTAATGGTGAGTGACAAAGATTGATTTTTTTTTAGCAATCTTCAGATAATCATTTTTTTTTGCTAGTAAGGAAATGTAATTCATTAGTTTAATGAATACAAGAATGGTCCATAAGTGGAATATCTATCGCTTTTGGACAATCCGTTAATCATTTAGATGAGTAGAAACATCGTATCAGTTGTTACCTCATCTTAAAAGTACAAATTATCTAAATATAGCTTCTTTAAAAATTTAAAATGGGAATTATTTAATACTGAAAATTTACCAGATTTTTTTTTAATTTCATACGCGTGAAAATAATCAAATCGATCACAGGCTGATCAAATATATAGAATTTTCAAGTCGAGTGAGATACACGGAGGGTCTCTTCGTGAGTTGGGCGATCAAAAACCTATCTGTCCTCTTTGGTAGTATGATTTAAGGTCAGATAGAGCAAAACTAAATCTTCCTGGGTATGACAATAAACTACATCCGGCAGCAAGACCTCTGATCGGGAGATTCGAGGAGTGCGGAACCACCACTAAATTGATGTTGTTCTCAGATCCACCCTATTAGGGTCCCATCTATGGGCAAATAGTGAACCTCCAAACTGAGGCCAAAACCTGAAAGTATAAATATATATTTTCATTGTTAAAAAAACCATTGTGACACATATTTTTGGCAAGTGGTTCTACTCTTGAAAAATTGAAGGCAATTCTTATTTTTTTTATAAAGCTAGAAGTCCGAGTTTTAGATTTATTACAGTTAGGTGTTGTAAAGTTGTTGGCAGTCCTGATCAACTTATTCAAGGTTACACAGTTGAAATGGATCAGGCAAAATGCTCCAACAAATATTGGATGAAAACTTTCTCACAAGTGAACGATCATAAAAATGGCCTTTTTTTTTTTCTCTTTCTTAAATAACATTCAATAACTTGTTTCTTTAAAAACCTATATTCCCAGCTTACTTATTAAGTAATGTTAAGCATGACTTATACCTTTTTTTTTCTGGCAATATAAAAAGACTGTACTTAGCAATGCAGGAATACTATCTTGAAAGACTTATCTTTTTTTTTATCCCATTCATATTTATTAAGCTTGGTTCAATATTATCTCAAATGCTTCCATTTAGCCTTGAGATTGTTTTGTCAGCCATTCTTAAGTAGAAAAAAGACTGCCTTCTTGGGAAATTAGCAATGAGTTTTCACCTGGTCTAGAATAACAGTAAACTTTCATGATACAATGATTAAAAACATTATTTGCAGACCATTTTGCTCATATAGTGGGTTTGATACTCACTGAATACTGCATTGTGAATACCGTAAATGGGAATGATTTTTTTAACCATTTAACACCAAGAAAGGCGTGAAAATGAGAGAAAAGACTGACTTTAGAGGGGATAAAACCAAACGGTGATCAAGGCAATAGATGATGAAGATTCAAGTTGCATTTAAATTTTTGAAGATTGTAGTTATCAGGGAAATAAGTGAAAGGAAGGGAGGTGCGAAAAAAGAAACCTCTGAAGCAGAAGAAGTCTTTACATTTAAATATTTCAACAGTAAAAGGGTGGGACCTAGATGCCAATCTAGTAGAACGCTTAAATTCATGTAGTCGTGGCACCAGGGAAAAAGCTAGTCAGAGCAGTAGAAAAGACAGAGGGAAGCTACATCAAAAATGTGTGAAAGTGACTGAAGTCGAGATTTCAAGTCAGGACTGATAACATTGCAGATCCTTCTTTGGATTTTATCAAATACCTCGAGATAAAGAGCAAGGGCGCCAGACAAGATATTGCAACAGTATTCAATGCATGGATGAATGGTAGATTTATAGATGTGTAAGATGGAATCTCACGAGAAAAAAACCTTCTGACACGACACAATAAACCAAATTTCCGTGCAGCAGATTCAGCTATTGATTCAATGTAGTTTTTCCACCACAAGTCTGAGGAAAACGTCAGGCCAAGAATGCGCAGTGAGACGCTCTCATGGAGTCGAACATCAACTATGTTGCTGTGAGGAGGGGACACGAAATTTTCTCTGTTGTGGTTAAATGAGAACAGTTTAATTTTGGAGGCATTAAAATCTACAAGCCATTTCATGCCCCCGTTATCCACTGATTGGAGGTCCTTTTCGAGAAATTTATCGTAATTTTAACGGATTGCACGTTCCATTTCAGAAAGAATGGGGACATTTATTCTCTGGTGTACCAGTTTATGGAAAACACAGGATAGAAACAATTACTGTCCAGCAAGCGAAGGAAAAGCCCAGATGGAAATTACAAATTGGAGATGCTAATATCAAACAAGTAGAGAAATTTATATATTTGAGGAGTATCGTAAAAGAAGACGAAAAATGCGGTACCGAAATCCGAATTGGAATTGGAAAAGATGCTTTCCAAAAGCTAAGCAAAATAATAAGAAACTGGAAAAATATGTTGGAAAAAGCAAAGAACTGTAATCTCCCTTTGCCTTTTTTATGAATAATTTCATTGTAATTGTTTGGATGATGCCTTTTTATGGTACCTAAACTCTATGTACAGTGCTGTTCGATAAAAGTGATTCACCTGATTTTTTTTTACTAAATATTCTCTTCTTCAACGAAAGTTGAGCTAAATTCAAAGGATAAGCGATCTAAAATCTGAAGAAGCTTTGAAAGTTCTTTGAATTTAGCAGTAAGTACTGTCAAGCATCCATTCAGTAGAATGTTCTTGGGATGCTTTTCATTTCATGGAACTGGTTTCTTAAAACTTATTGAAAAGACACTCAGGAGCGAGCAGTACAAGAGAATTTTAGAGTCTTGTCTGCTCCCTTCTGCTGAAAGGGTGCAAATCGACCCCATCAAGATCATCTTTATGCAGGATAATGCTCCCTGTCACAAATAAAAATTGATGAAGGAATACTTTGATGAGAAGCAGGTGAGTATTATGACATGGGTGCCCCAATCTCCTGACCTCAACCCCATAGAAAGCTTATGGAGCATTATAAAGTACAGGCTCTCGAGAAAGCAGTTGAGCAGGATTTGATTGTGAATTTTATATCCGAATGGAATTTAATTCTTGGAGATGAGATTTGCCAGAACCTAATCAAGTCAATGCCAAAAAGGATTGAAAAGGTTATTCAAAATAAAGGAGGACCCATAGATTATTAAATATTTCGAACAATATTACCTATTATAAATAAATTATACCTCTATTATTCTTTATTTAAAGCTGTTCGGTTATGTTTCTATTGATTACTAATTGCAGGAAATAAGTGAGTCACTTTTTTTTCCTTAAATTTTTTCCTTAAATCTCATTTATGTCCAAAATTATCAATAGAATACCTTAGGGTTAGTAAACTTTTTTACTAGGTGGTCGGGAAGGGGTCTTTATATTAGTAATATTAAAAATTAGTTTGACCCCAAAAACAATAGGCGAAAATATTTTTAAGTAAAAACAATCAGGTGAGTCACTTTTATCGAACAACACTGTATACAAGCTCAGTACTAGACTAACTACGAGATCTCATCAATTTACAATTGAGCTAGCTAGATGTAACCGTAAGTTCTATGCTAAAAATTTCCTTTCTGGCACTTATGGTTCGTAGTATTCTCTTTGGGATCTATGCTTTTCATTGAAGTATAATCTTCAAGAATTTAAATCTGATGCCAATCGATTTATACTGACCCTCTGGTTACACGTCTATTGTTCCCCTCCTTAGTAATGCTTCTGCTTTCTAATTATTCCACACTCAGTAGCTCCTTGTGTCTTAATGGCTTTACTGCCTTGTTTGGGGTAATTTCGATTAAAAATTTAATGTCAGTCCTCTTATATGGCAATGAATGCTGGGTAATCACATGGCGAAGAAACATGAAGCAACAGAAGTGTGTTTCTACAGAAGGATGATCAGATAAACACGGACGGAGTACATAATCAACGTTAAGTGCTAAGTGAAATGAAAACAAAATAAGACATATATACAAGATCAGAACGAGACGGCTGAAATCATTTGGAATCATACTGAGGAAGAACTTGAGAATTTGACACTTACAGGACATGTCCAAATCAAGTAGGCAGATGGCGAAGGCAGTGGGTCAATTATCTGCTGAGATTGTGTGCATGGATGCCGGAACAGGAAAGGGATCGTAAAAAAGACAAACCTCACTAAGAATCAAGGATAAGGAAGTTGTGGATGACCATAATCGCTCACATACTGATGGAACAAGGCATATAGAAGAAGTAAATCGCATAGTGGTTCCACAGAAAACTTAAAAACATGCCGAAAGCAAAATGGACAGGGGAAGGCACTGTGTCAACTACCTGCCGGGCTTGTGTGAACGGAAGCACGGTAGAGTAATGGATAGCGGCTTGGATTGCGGAATCAGAGAGCCGAGTTCGAATTCCAGACGAATCCATTACATTCACTTACGTGCTAACACCCTTGGGAAAGGTGTGAATCCTCTTTCTTCTCCCTCCAGCTATGGGTAAATAGCAGGACAGACTGGGTTCTATAGCCTTGGATGGCAACTGGAAAACTCTGAATTCAAACCTGCTCTTAGAGGAGGGTGAATGGAGTCTCTCTGAGCAATCCATTTAGTGTTGGTGTCACGATAAAAACACTCTTGATAGCCCTAGCGAAGCATCAAGAATTCAGCTATTTGACAAGATTAGGAACTACACCAATCAAAGTATTGGTGAGTTCAATCTCGGCTGAGGCCGCAAGATGATGTCTGAACGGCTATCAAAATAGAAGAAAGGATGGTAAAACGATAAAAGTTGCTAACGTTAAGGAAGCTGTGGAAGGTCATGATCGCCCACATATGGATCGGAAATGGCACAGAGAAGG